AAAAAGATACACAGTAAAAAGTCCCATCTACACCATATTCTTCTCCATTTCCACACAAAATTCAGATTTTTGCTCACTCTTCTAGATTTTCTTTACACAAATAACAAATATAAACATATATTTTTATTTCCCTCCCACTTTACATAAAAACCAGTTTACTATACACTCTGTTTTAAACCAGTTTTTTAAAAATAACAATGTACACAGGGAAACTTTCCATATCTGAACTTAGAGAATACCCTTGTTATTGTCACTGTTTTAAATTTTTTGCTATAGAGCATATAGGCTCACTGGAGACAGAGACAGAGACAGAGACAGAGACAGAGACAGAGAAAGCACCACCCAAGGGGATGGCCATGCTGCAATCCTTTCTCTTCTATATTCCTCTTTGGATTTTGGGAATCCACACACTCCTGGGGCTTTCAATTTTTTCAAGCCTCTGGGTCGGTCCAAGACACCATCCGGCAGTTGGCCATGTGGGATCTAGCTGCCTTAATTAAGCAACATGCCACCTGCCTGTCCCTTCACTGGTTTTGTTTGTTTAATAGCAGTAGAGTATCTCACTGTATAACTATGCCATGATTTATTTAGCCGGTACCCTACTGATAGACATTTAGGGGGTGTTTATAATCTTATAACACATACAAAGCTACAATGAAAATTACAATAGATACGTTATTTCTAAGTATATATATATGTATATGTATATGTGTATATATATATGTATGTATATATATATGTATATGTATGTATACATAAACATACACGTAAGAAATTCCCAGAATTGGTACTGTGACAAAAGGCTCCTGTTTCTAAAAACTGGCGATTTGCCCTCCATGGAGGCTGTGTTACCTTGCCCTTCTAACACATTCATCCTGGAAAAAGCTACTCCTCTCCTTGAGCCTTTAAGATATTTTGTTCAAGGACCAGCAGATGGCAGAATTATTACATTGCTGGACTCCCACATAGTCAAGTTCCTGGACCTAGCAGCTTGAAACTTACTCCGGGCACGTGTGCATGCGTGCCCAAAATCCCAAGAGGAGAGTAGTAGAGTAGGGACTGCAGTATGGCCATTCCTCTGGGGAGTGATTTTTCACTGTCTGCCTCTCTGTCTCTGTCTCTCTGGGAAGCATATACATCCTATAGCAAAAATCTCTCTCTCTCAAAAAAAAAAAAAAAAAAGGTGATTTGTTCATAAGGTACTTTCCAAACGTGTTCTGACTTAAATAAACTATACAAAGCTCTTTGTTTTTCCCAAATACATCTGTAAAATTGGTTGACTTAGTAAGTTTAAAAGCAAATTAATTTTCAATTTTGGGGAAAAAAAACATTTCACTCACACAGGAGGTCATATTGATGCCTGGTGTGCTGGGGTGATGGCTGTCTATTTTTCTTCCTGAAATCTCTTGTGATCTAGAAACAAATATACTCCCTACTCATCTTTGGTTGTTGCTGTTGTTAAGTTCACATTCAGCAGTATGTAACTCTGTGTGTGTACGCATAGGACAGGGTATGCAGTCAGCAGTCAAATGCACTTCACTTTCAAATGTCTTCCTGAAAAACTTAAGTGCTTTCATGAAAGCAGGTCTGTGGTTTTTATACATTTTCCTTTAAGAGTTATCATTTCAAAGGTGATTTTTTTTTTTTTGAGAGGTTTTTGCTATAGGGTGTATGTGCTCGCCAGACAGACAGAGAGACAGAAAGCAAGAAATCACCCCCCAGAGTGGATGGCCACGCTGCAATCCCTCTTCCTCCATTCTCCTCTTGGGATCTTGGGCACGCACGTATGCACACGTGCCTGGTGTGAGTTTAAGCCACCGGGTCCGGGACTCGAACCGCAGTCAACTAGGTGGGAGTCCAGCTACATAGCCATTACACTAACTGCTGGCCCCTCAAAGGTGATTTCATCTTTACACTGCCAATAGCCACTGTCGCTAAATATCTAATTCTTATTTCAAAGGCCATCCTGTCAAGTATTTAACAATTAGGAACCATACTTAAGTGCATTTGACTTCCTATGTGAAGGAATCCTTAAGTAAATCCATTCACCATATAACTGTTACAAGAAGACATGTAAATGGTAAATACTCCCCAAGAAGGAAACACTAATGTATATGCAATGTATGTTCCATTTCAGTCTCTCAGAAATCAGTCCTGAAATCCTCAGTACTCTGAAACATAGTATCTGACCCTAAAAGAAACTTCTAAAAACTGTCACAATTATTATAAACTCTGAAACAAAGTATCTAGCCCTGACATAAACTTTTAAAAGCTACCACAATCATCCCAAAGCCCTGAAAAAGTATTTGACCCTAAAGGAAACTTTAAAGTTGCTACACATTTACTGGCAGGCAGTAGATGGGGCAGAACCAAGCTTAAGCCGCACCTAAGTCCTATATGTCAGGCAAATGATTTCATTTTTGTTTTTTTGTTGTTTTTGGAGAGGTTTATGCTATAGGGCACACGCACTCGCCAGAAAGACAGAGAGAGACAGAGACAGAAAGCGAGAAATCACCCCCCGGGGGGATGGCCACGCTGCAATCCCTTCTCCCCTATTCTCCTCCCGGGATCTTGGGCACGCACGCACAAGCGCCCGGCGTGAGTTTAGGCCACCAGGTCCAGGACTTGAACTGCAGTCGACTACAGGGGAGTCCAGCAACAGTCTTTACACCAACTGCTAGTCCCACAAATGCTTTCATTTTAAGTATATGTCAACAGAAAGCACTAGTAACAAAAGGTAGGAATTACCAAAGAAAGGTAAAACAACGACATAACACAACACACCACAAATACCACCCAGGACATTAAAGTCCAATATTAAGGACAGCTCTGGAGAAAACACTCTGACACACTGTAACAGTTTCAGAGAAAATCACTCTAATTCTATAAAATAATTGGTATGAGTTGTTTAAAAAGGTGGGGGGCCAGCTGGTGGCGTGGTGGCTAGGGCAGCTGTCTAACTGCATGGCTGCAGTTAGAATCCAGCAATGTGGAAAACGCTCTGAGCATATGTGTGTGTCCAAGGCACCAGAGGCATGAGACGTAGAGAAAGGACCACAGCAAGATGGTCCTCCACGGGAAGTAGGGAAGTCCTCACTTTCCCTCTCTCTATATCCCTTGTTCGCTGTCTCTCTCCTGTGCTCTCTAGGGAGCACACAAGCCCTCTGGCTAAATTTTATTTGTTTTTAGATTTTTGGTATAGGGCACCTGTGCTCACTGCAGAGGAGAGAGACAGAGAGACAGAGAGGGGAGTGAGAAATCCCCCTGGGCAGGGGCTGGGGGGGGTGATCACACCTCAATCCCTTCTCCTCCATTCTCTTCTCGGGATCTTGGGCACACACACTCATGCGCCCAGCATAATTATCAGGCCACCAGATTGGGGACTTTAACCACTATTGGCCACATGGGAATCCAGGCACCTTAAGCACCATGCCACCTGCTGGCACCTCTGGCAAAAACATTTCTTAATAAATAAAAAAATGAAATCTGAAGTTTATTCAGAGATGTAAATATTGTATTTTAGAAAAATGCAATAGGATTTCAAAAAGTTCATGGAAAATTAAAGTATGAGTTTAATTTGGACTAAAAAAACTTGAAACCCATAAATAGTGTTTCTATAATATGCATTTTTCATGTATTTTTCGAAGACCCATTACATTCATACAAAACAAATTTGGCACGTAAAAAAGCAAAATTCAATTTTCCAGAAAAATAACATGTGCAATATGATATCTGTTTAATAACAGCCCAGTGAATGAGCGAATACTGAAAGCAAAATTTCTCACTTAAAAACAGAATATACTGGGGCTGGCAGGTGGCGTGGTGGTTAAAGACACTGTACTCTCACATAGCTGACTATGGTTTGAATCTCAGACCTGGCAGCTTGCTTTCCCACTTTATCTCTTTCTCTCTCCCTCCCTCTCTCTCTCTCTCTCTCTGTCCTTCTCTGGTCAAATTAAATTAATAATAATAAAATTAAATAAAATATCTTTTATAAATAGAATATACTATGGTTGCCTTTTGGAAGAGGAACTGTGACAAGGTACAATAACATTGGGGATTTAAAAACACAGGTCCCTATGCTAGGCTGGGTCTTGGTAAATAGCCAAAAGAATATCTGATCATTTCTGAATGACTGGACACAGTCAAGAAAATGTCTTGATTTTACCTCGTTTACTTTTAGTCATGACTGCCAAGCAGACAGGTTGGTCTAGTTTCCATCTGTAACTTGCTAAATGACCTTCTCCAAGGAGCTGGATCTCCCTAGCCCCTCTGGCCTCGTCACCAGTTGGGTGGAGGGGTTACAGAAGGCATGATGCATCAGTGCCATGAGTGAGAGTGCTAGTTACATGAAACGAGTGACCCCATGAGCCCACACCTGTGCCCGTGCGGTGTGTATGTGTGCACTGCACTTCAGCCACCTCCAACTACACGTCGCTTCACGTGCATTTAAGGCCTATGTTTAAAGGGAATGATAATCACTTCAGAATCTTGTCCAATATTTAATATTTGTTACCATCATTCTAAAAAGTCCACCACCTACAAACATGCTTCACCATATTTTTGATAAAACTTTTGGGTGCCACTAAACAGGAAACAGGCCACAAAGTGTAGAGACAAGACTCAGCACCCTCATCAGACTACAGCCACAATGGCAGTACGCAGGGTCAGTAAGTGATAGCATAGCTTGCGTTTAGGTGACGAACACTTTAGAGTTTTCTACACTGCATTTTTATAACATAAATCAGCTACTATTATGATGATTTATTTTGTAATAAACTCAATCTCCCATACTTTTGTTTTACAAAGGAATACTGTTATTTTTTGTGATGCAGCCAGGGACTCCTCTCCTTAGCAGGCTCAGCTAACCCGGTCTTTACACACCTGTTCAGGGCTAACTTACAGGGTTACGCGTCCAGCACGGAGCAGCACTGGGTCAGTCATAAAACTTCACTTGAACATGAAACTGACAGAAGAAAAATGGAAAAAAGCCTACTTACCATAGGTCCGTTCTAGAATACATCAATTTTTAGGGTAGTTGCAGGGTTTCCAGAATAAAACGCAAAGTGTCTCTCAAACCATACATAGGTGGTCCATGGCTTCAGGATTCCTAAAGCAGGAAATCAAAACTGTATTAGCGGAAGGCCTCTCTCAGCCAAATCGAATTAGCTATGCTGTAAGTAAATGCCTCTCAGCTGTCAAGTTGCAATTTCTCTTGGTGGGTCCGTGGAATTTTTGAACTTGGATATTCAATGACATTAGATGAAATGATTTTGTATATATAAATATATTTTTATTATATATATTTATATATAATTTTAACATAATAAAGATTATAATGTATATAACATATATAATGCATTATATATCTCTATACGCATCTATATAAAATACATTGTGTAAGTAGTTGGATGACATAACAGATTATATAAACTATCAATCAACCTAGAACTACAGTCAAGGAATTAAAGAAGTTAATATAGCAAGCACATATACTTCTGATCTTCTAGACTACATGCTGTGTTAGCAACATAGAGTAGTGGTCCCCAACCTTTCTGGTACCAGGGACTGGCTTCGGGGAAGACAATTTTTCCAGACAGGTGGCAGGAATGGTTTTGGGATGATTCAAGTACATTCCATTCATTGTGCACTTTATTTCTATTAATATCATGTTGTAATGTATGATGAAATCCTTATCCAACTCACCACGGTACAGAATCAGTGGGGGCCCTGAGCTTGTTTTCATGCAACAGACAGTCCTATCTGGGAGCCCTACGAGAACCCATTGCCACCTGGATGTGACAGGAGGCAGTGCTCGGGCAGCGACAGAGAGCGGCATAAACACAAATGAGGCTTCACCTGCCTGTCCACGGCCCACCTCCTGCTGTGAGCCTGGTCCAGATGTTGGGGGTTGGGGATCCCTGATACAGAGTATAGAAAGTCACTTCTGCAAGTCAATATGACTACCTGAGGTGAATTTTTCTGTTTTGCTTTGGTTTTTGTTTTTGCCAATAGGGTGTGTGCACCCTCCGCAGGGGGTGGGGAGTGAGAAATCACCCCTGGGGGGGAAGGTCACCCTGAAATCCTTTTTCTTTCAGTCTCCTTGGGATTTGGGGCATTACATGCACATAGGTCCAGAGTGATTTTCAAGCCACCACGTACAGGACTCAAACCATACAGTCGGCCATGTGGGATCCAGTGCCTTAACCTCCCCCTGCTGGCCCCATACCTGAGGTTAATTTTAAAAACTAAAGACAGTAGAGAAATAGTTTATGAAGTTGGTATGTAAGACTGAACAGTCAGATACTTACTATGAGGCTTGCTTACATCACTGTAGAAAAACCCAGTGGCCAGCTATAAGGAGAAAACCCAAACATTACGGTACACTTGACACTGACTTGAATGTGCAAACCAGGTTCATGTTCAATTCTAAGAAATCGTCATCATTTCTGTAATGTGATAGCACGTGTATGAGAAACACTCCCCACGGAGGACCTGGTCATGCCACAATCCCCTTTCTTGCAGTCTTCCAATGTGTCAGGGTCCCAGCACCAGCCATTGCCTCCAGAGCCAGGACTGAACCCCAGTCGGCCACGTGGCATCCGGCTTCCTCTGCACAGAGTAAGTGCTGGGTGATGGGCGAGCCCCTACACCAGATTTATGACTAAGAGAAGGTCTTATCTCCACTTCTTTCTGAAATGTTAAAGTTCGCTTTGTATGAACTGGGTTGTCAGAAAAGTCATGACATATTTTTAATGATTTTCTCTGCAGAAATGCATCATGACTTCTGACAAGCCAATATTTGCCTGTGATTTTTCGGTGTTTATATGGAAAAACAATTTCTGCCTTTAAAAGAAATGAGATATTCACCTTCAAGTACATAACAATATATTATAAATGAAGTCTTTATTTGGAATTTACTATGTCAAAAGGTTCCTACTCTTCTTCTAGCAAAATGATGAAAACAGATCAACTTGGTAAATGATATCAAGACCATGGTGACTTGCTAATAATTCTCATGAATTCGACTTAGGCGGAGAGAAAGTGATACATTAATCTTCTTTGAGTTAACAATAGCTATTTGCTGCATTATCTCCCGTCTTTTGTTCCTCTGAGAGTCCTCTTATGTTTGCTCTTGCCTTCGCTTTCTGTACATCTCGTTCTGGTGCTTCCTGTTTCTGCCAATCTCCCTCCTGTATAGTGCATGTTTATTTCAACTTCAATTGTTGTTTCACCCAGTCTCTTCCCTTTATGATTCTATCGCTTTCCCCCTTGCCTCTCAGGACCTTTAAAAGTGAGTTTTCTCTCTATAAAATTCTGCTGAAGTACACTTTCATCCATTTACAGGCACTATGCTTGACCTTAACAATCTCACTTGACTGGAAAACTCAAGTAAATATTCTTAAATTATATTTCTTCTATTCATAAAAATGTTTTCCTCTGAATTATTTAAATATAGGAAGAGGGACTAGCAGATGGCGTAATGGTTATGTTGCTGGACTCCCATGAAGTCGAGACTGTAGTTTTGAGTGTTGGACCCACCAGTTTGAAACTCATGCCAGGCACATGTGTGTGCATGCCCAAAATCCCAAGAGGAAAATGGAGAAGGGACTGCAGTGTGGCCATCTCTCCAGGGGATGATTTCTTGCTTTCTGTCTCTCTGGTGAGTGCACATGCCTTAAAGCAAAAATCTCTCTAAACATGGGAAGAACTGGTAGATATTTTAGGGTCAATCCTGAAGCACTTAAAAATCTCAGGGAAATCTAGTCTCACTCATTCCAACAACTAGAGAAACCACCACTATTCTAATAAAGAGATGATCAGTATCTTACTACTTCAGTGTTTATAAATACTGAGTAACAAGTTTCCTTAGGTCAACAGGACTTTAGTGCTATTTGTTCATATATGTGTGTGCATTCTCATAGTCTCATTAAAAAGGAAAAGCACATTAAATAACCCCTATGTCTAATGTATATTATAAAGTCAGAGAAGAACTCTAACTTTTCTATTTAGGGCTCTAATATAAATACGGACATCAAGGAAATTACTACACTGTGAAATAATCTCATAAAACAATTATTCGCAAGCTTTGAAATTTTTAACTTATAAAGAGATTATACAACGCCATATATAATTACCTTAAAAAAAAAAAAAAGACTGTAGTGGGTTGAATAGCATCACACACAGAAACACACCACACAAATTAATGTTCACCTGGAATCTCGAAGCATGACCTGACCTGTAAACAGGGTTTTTCACAAATGTAACTAAAGGAAGGCATAAGCTCATACTACACTGGAGAAGACACTTCGTACAATGAGAATGTCCTCCTAAGACACGCAGAGACAGAGGGCCGTGTGATTACAGAGGCAGGGACTGACTGCGGTTATTTGCCACAAGCCAAGGAAATAGGAGTTCCATAAGACACATCGCATAGAAGGCCGCTCCTCTGGAGCCCCTGGAGCACACGTGGCCCGACGGTCTGTCTTGGTTGTGAACTTTGGGCCTCTCAAAACTTCGAGAAAGAAAGCACATTTCTGTTGTGCTACGTTGCCACATTTGTGGTGATCTGTGCTGGCAATCCTAGGGAACTCTACAGATTTTGATGCCAGAACCATGCTAGCTGTGGAATTTCTGTCACCAAATTTTTTTTACTGTTTTTTTGTTTACCACTAAACATTTCTTTTTTCTTTAAACTTTACTATTATCACTTTTAATCTGGCTAGAGAGAGACACAGAAAGAAAGAGAGGGAAGGTGAGAAAGCAAGCCACCAGGTCTGTGACTTGAACCGTGGTCGGTCACGTGGGAGTCCAGCACCTCAACCACCATGCCACCTGGTGGTCCCTGTTTACTACTAAATATTTCTTCATCTATTTCTCATAGATATCATTATGGGACCAGCACATGGCATAATGGTTATGTCACTGGACTCCTATGTAGTTGACCATGGCTCGAGTCCTGGATCCAGTGGCTTAAACTCATGCTGGGGGCATGCACATACGTGCCCAAGATGCAAGGGGAGAATAGGGATTGCAGCATGGACATCCCCTAGGGGAATGATTTCTTGCTTTCTGTCTCTCTTACTCTCTGTCTCCAGCAAGTACACACATCCTATAACAAAAATTTCTCTCAGAAGAAAAAAAAAAATATATATATGTATATATTTGACAGCTCTTTGAACCAAAAAATGTTAACAGCTTGGACTCAGCAGTTAGCGTAATAGCTATGTCGCTGAACTCCCATGTAGTCAATCGCAGTTTGAGTCCCAGACCCGGTAGCTTAAACTCACGCCGGGCGCGTGTGCATGTATACCCAAGATTCCGAGAGGAGAATGGAGAATAGATTGCGGTGTGGCCATCCCCCTGGGGGGTGACTTCTCGCTTTCTATCTCTCTGTCTTTCTGGCAAGCACATGCGCCCTATAGCAAAAAATTCCTCTCAAAAAAAAAAAAAAAAAAGTTAACATCTTGACACATTTACTGTAATATACTAGACATTCCAAAGTATAAGTACACATACAATAGTTTAAATTTTAATTTGAACACTCCAATTTTCTGCTTATATCTTTTAAATCCATTAAAATTAGGACAACTGTAAGTACTCATTTGCCCACTTTACCTCACTTTGCTGGGATCCAATATAATTCACTTTTTCAGTACTGACTAGTTTCCTAAATAGTTCATGTTTCAAAGATGAAATCAAAACAAAAATTAGAAAATGTTTTGAAATAAAAAATGACGAGCATGTAAAATATTAGACGTGTTTAAAGAAAAGCGCCTTTTCTAATAAGCAGAGAAGAAAAATTAGTGAATAAAGCTTTCATTACGAGAAGAGAAAAACCAGGGCCAGCCGGTGGCATAATGATTATGTAGTCAACTGGTTCGAGTTTCAGATCCAGCGGCTTAAACTCACGCTGGGCACGTGTGTGTGTGTGTGTGTGTGTGTGTGTGTCCCCAAGATCCTGAGAGGAAACTGGAAAGGAGATTGCAGTGTGGCCATCCCCCCAGGGGGTTGATTTCTTGGTTTCTGTCTCTGTCTCTGTTTTTCTGGCAAGTGTTCACACCCTATAGCAAAAATCTCTCTTTAAAGCAAGCAAGCAAACAAACACCAAAAAAAAAAAAAAAAAAAAAAAACAAGAAGAGAAAAACTAGGACCAGCAGTCAGTGTAATGGCTATGTTACTGGACTCCCATGCAGTCGACCTGTGTCCTGGACCCAGTGAAGAAAGCATAGCGACCATCTTCAGAATCTTGGAGTAGGCAAACATAGCCATAAAGAGAAAACTGGCATTTCAGAATACATTTTGACAAAAATAAATAAATAAGAAAATGAAAGGGCAAGCCACAGACTGAAAGAAGATATTTGTTATGCATTTATTTAAAACTGGACTCTTACCCATAATATTTTTAAAAAGTCTACACATTGGTGGGGGAAGACAGATAATCCCAAATTTAAAAAGTAGCAGACATAGGAAGGCTGTGCACGAAGGGGGCCGTTCAGATGGCCAAGACCACACAGCGGGTGCTCACTGCCACCTGCTCAAATCCAAACGGTAGAGCTGTGCCACCGCTCTACCAGAATGGCTACAGTGAAAAGAGAAAACATTAAGTGTTGATAAGGGTGAGAACAACTGAAATTCTCAAATACTTCTGGGTAAAAGTGTAAATTAGGAAAATCACATCAGAAAAATGTCCATGAATGGGAAACTACCCAAATTGCTTCCAACAGTGGAATGGGTAGTGAATTATAATACATTTATGCAATATTATAGCCAGAGCGTACATCATCCACAACCCTATACATCCATAAGGATCACTTCACAACCATGAAGGGCATGAGAAGTCAAACACAGGAGTACGTACTACATGGCTTCCTTGACAGAAAGTAGAAAACTAAGTAAAACAAATCCACCACACTAGAAATCAGGACCGGGGGTTCTCTTGTGAGGAGAGTGAAAGGGAGAAGGTTAAAAGAGATTATGGGGACCAGCAGATAGCATATGGCCATGTTGCTGGACTCCCATGTAGTCCACCATGATTCAATTTGAGTCCTGGACCCAGTGGCTTAAACTCATGCCAAGCACGTGTTAGAGAAAGGATCGCAGTGTAGCCATCCCCCTGGGAAATTATTTCCCACTTTCTCTCTCTCTGTCTCTCTCTGTCTTCCTGGAGAGCGCGTGCACCCTATAGCAAAAAGATAAATAATAAAAGATAATATGTGAGGTCCAGGACTCCCTCTGTGCGGGCATGGCCCTGGCAGTCACTGATTCAACCATGTTGCCAGAATACCAGCAGGCCAGTGGTAAGCCTCCCCGTTACCTGAGTTACACACCTTACCTGCTTGTACAACAGTGATGTGGGCCCTGTGGTTGGAGAAGCTGTTGGAAAATAAATGAAGTGGTGCCCCTGCGTGTCAGGGAGTACTAGTTGCTTCCCGTGGCTATTCTATGCTTTCTCTGTGCCATCAATCAGTTGCCTGCAGTTAAAGGTCGCCTTCAACTGTAAAGAAGACTTCTGGGAATATTAGCTTATTGGAATCTCTGTGAAAAGGATCACAAGGCTGATGCACATGTTGCTCATGGTGCTCCAGGCTCAGATTTTCATAAGTACTGATTTCACTTTGATAACACAGTAAGATGGCTCTACTGGGGATATGTGGGTTGAAGTGAACTTTGAAGGGTAGGTTCATGTTCATCACTGGCCTTTTGGAATCAGGGAACACTACTAGTACAGGGTACAAGATGAATGCCAGAGGGCACGTGTAAAGGAATTTATAGAATGATGGAGCTACAGATGGACAGAGATTGCATACAGGTCCTTACAAAGTCTTGTTTCATATTATACAATCCAACTTCTATTTTACAAGATTAAGAGGGCTCCTGAATGTGGAGAATGGACTACAAGAGAACCAAGGGTGAGGATTAACCATCAAGGAAGGCTTAGAGAGCTATTTAGAAGAAAACTCTATAGGCTGCGTGAAGGGCAGAAGACGGCAGAAGGAAGCGTGAGAAGGGAACTGAGTGTAGCGAGCGGCCTTGGCACAGGCAGCTCGGTTCTACCATTGGTCCGCCGTCCATTGAGACATGAAACATCAGCAGAGGTCTAGTCTGGGGCATTACAAGTTCGAGGTTCTACTAAGACATTCAAGAGATGACGATAAAGTATCTGGATTTATGCTTCCGGAGGTCAGGGACCTAGATCATAAATATATTAGTTGTTGGTACATAAATGGTAATTAAAGTCAGAAGGCAAGATGAAAAAATATGAAATGAAGAGAAAAATGGTTTTAAGGAACTCTTAAAGGCAAAAAGTGGAGGGAGCTTTTTCATTTACTATGTTAGCCACTGAATTGTCCCTCCTTTAAAATGGTGATTCCTCTCCTGTGCTCTGACTCCATTTTATCTATCTCAGTCATGTCTTTTTCTCTTTCTCTTTTTTCTTTTTTTTTTTTGTATGTTTTTTCCTATAGGGCGCGTGTACTCGCAAGACAGAGACAGACAGAGAGACATAAAGTGAAAAATCACCCCCCAGGGGAGATGGCCACACTGTAATCCCTTCTCCTCCATTCTCCTCTTGGGATCTTGGGCACGCATGCAAACATGCGCTGCATGAGTTTAAGCCACCGGTTCTAGGACTTGAACCACAGTTGACTACATGGGAGTCCAGCGACATTGCCATTATGTCAGCTGCTGGTCCCAGTCAGGTCTTTCTTTATCAACTGCCTCAATGCTTTCTGGTACCTTTATATTCTCCCTCCTTGCCCTGACCCTCCCTCCAACAACAGCAAAACCCTCGCTTAAACTGTGTCATCTCTTTCTATACTCCTTCGCAGCAAGGCTTTCTGAAATGTAAAATGATCTACTTTGATGGAACTTCACCTGCCATCCATTTCTACACACAATTATTTAACTTCCAAGTTTACTACTCTAGAAGATCTGTCCTTTACAGTCACAGAGATGTTAGCATTCAATCAAGTGAGTGCCTTCCTAGTCTTATCATAGCTTGTGCTCCTCTGTCCCGCTTTCCCTTTGTTAAATTTACTTTGTACATATTAAGAGAGACAAAGACAAAGAGGAACAGGTGGGCGGTAACTTGGTAGGGTCTTGCCATGCCACAATCCTCCCTGCAGTCTCCCAGCCAGCCAGGAATGCAGCACGCCAGCCTTATTCAGGTCAACCTGGGGTCTGAACCTGACCCCCCAGTGCAGCAATGTCCTGTCCAGATTTTAGAAGTTGATGTTTTCCAAAGTTCATGTGAGGTTCCTTTTTCTTCTTAGTATATTTCTTTGTTGAGTCAATCCCTAACCATAGGATTAACTGCCCCCAGGTACTTAATAATTTCAAATCTGGATCTTTAATCCAGAACTCTCTCTCACGGCAGACTTCCATGTATTAAACATCTTCACCTAGATACTCCATGGTTATTCAAATTAAACACATTCAAAACAGATAAAGGCTCAATTTATTACCTTCCATCCTCCCAAACAATCAATGTCAAAATGATAAAATTGTGCTGTTCTTCCTTTATTCTGTCCTCACAATTCCCGAAGCTTCCCCACACAGGAATGAATAGTCCTGCACTGCTCCCTTCTACCTCTGTGGTGTCAGCTCCACCCTCGCCGTAACGTCTCACCTCTCGTGGTATCCGTGGTATCCGTACCCCAGTCATGCTGTAGCTCCTCCACTGTCCTTCAGCAGACTTTAAGCCCTTCCTGAACAATTAACTATGACCATTATGGCATTCTTTTACTTAAAATTTCTGTGATTGCAGTTTCCCATTAACCTTAAGGAAAGGAAGTTCACAGCCTTAAAAAAAAAAAAAAAAAAAAGCCCAAACTCTGCCTAAATTCACTAGTCTCCTGTTCGCACTCCGTGCACACACATGGACACGGGTACTACTTACACAGAAGGGTGAAACAGAGCGCTGAAGGAGCGGCCCTCCTGGTCCCTGTAACAGCTCCCATTCTCTTGAATGCCTCTGCCTTCTACACATCCTTCAAAAAGACTAAGCTTCCTTTCCGGGGGAACGTTCCAAGGTCCTGCCTCCCAGTCTGAGCCAGGGAGTCCGCATTTGTCCTCCAGACAGCTTAAACAGGTTTACAGTAGTAGCCTGTTTACCACCACCCCCCCCAACTCAAGGAGGACGAAGACCTTTTTCTCCTATGACCTGATCTTTTGGCCCACTCGCTGGAATTTAGTATGTATTGTAGTTACTTATCGATACTATAATAATTTCAACTTACCAAGAGATTACTGAAAGTTGCAACAACTCAGTGGCAAGTATTTCAAAGAGGCCTGGATGTATTTTAAAGATATGATACATCACCGTGGGTGACGGACTTAGCAGGGCAGGGGGAGCGGAAGTGCTTTTTGGTTTAGGCATTTGTCCAATCATGGATGTCTTCAAAAATCACTGACCCACCCACCTCCAGCTCAGTTTTGGAAAAAAAGGTTAAATCCAAAAATACGACTCTAAATTGTTCCCACACATAAATATTCATACTCTAACAACTGTCTATTCAGAGTTCACCGATCACTACAAAAATAATGTACATATCTCATTCTTACCAGTTTGGGGGGAAGAAACCTAAAGTATTTTCTCTTTTTTGCAGCTGCTTTAACAGCAAACGACAATTAAATGTGTGAACAAGGTTGTCAGAGTAACACTTGTCATTCACACCACTGACGGAAGGCGCGCTGATTCCTGACGCACTAATTAAACTTCTCGGCAGCTTCTCGCGGGCCGTGGCGGAGGGGCGTGTAGCCAGGAGGAGCACACCTGGGCGCCCCGGAGCTCAGAGCACGCCGAGGGCCGAACCCAACCTGACCCCCGCGCTCGGCGACTCGGGGCACAGCCCAATCCCGCGGCTACACCACACCCACCCAATGGGGCCTCCGGGGAAGGTGGAGCGACGGCCTCGCGGACCCCGGAGGGCAGAGCACAGGACCCTCCGCGAGGCCGAGCGGCGGCGGAGCGGGCTGGGCTGC